GGGGATGGGGGGAAATAGGGGTGGGGTTTTGGGGGTGAAAAAGGGGAATTTGGGCAAATAAAGGGAGATATGGAGATATATGGGGGAAATATGGGGATTTGTAGAGAAATACACGGATATTTGGGGAAAATAGGCGGATATTTGGGCAAAATCTGGGGATATTTGGGGGAAATGTGGGGATTTATGGGGAAATCTGGGGATATTTGGGGGAAATGTGGCATTTTTGAGGAAATATAAGAAGACCTGTGGGAAATATGAGCACTGATAGAAAAATACGGGGATATTTGGGGGAGAAAAGGGGATATTTGGGGGAAATCTGGGGATATTTGGGGGAAATGTGGGGATGTTTGGGGGAAATCTGGGGATTTATGGGGCAATCTGGGGATATTTGGGGGAAGTGAGGGAATTTATGGAGAAACCTGGGGATATTTGGGGGAAATCTGAGGATTTATAGGAAAATATGGGAATATTGGAGGGAAAGGTTGAATTTATGGGGAAATCTGGGGACATTTGGGGGAAATCTGGGGGTTTTTGGGAAAATACAGTCGTCTGTAGGGTAAAAATCGGGATTTTGGGGACAAAGGTGGAAAAATCCATGAAAATAAAGCGAATATTTGGACAAAATACGAAAATATTTGGGAAAAAAACGTGGAAATTCAGAGAAAAAAGAAAAAGGGGGCGGAGCATCGCCGTGGCCCCGCCCACTCCGAAGCCCCGCCCACCCCTCAATTCATTCCTATGGAAAGCAGAGGGGGTTGGGTTAGCCCCGCCCACCGGAAGTCCCGCCCACCTGGCTGTCGGTCAGCGGCAGCCAATAGATGCACGGCGCCGCCTTGGTCTTCCGGAAGAGGTCGTCCAATAGTTTTGCAGGAGGCTCTTCTGGGGCTTTTTCTGCCGGAAGAGGCGGGGCCACGTTTGGACACGCCCACTGCGCGCATAGCCCCTCCCCTTTCCTGCCCCATAACCACCCCATAGTGCCCCATAACCACCCTATAACCCCTCATAGCGCCCCATAACCACCCCATAACCACCCTATGACACCCCATAACCACCCCACAGCGCCCCATAACCACCCTATAA